AGTTGAAAGTGGGACTGCTCGATTAGAAAATGGAAAAAAAAATCGTTTCCCCCAGTTTTTATTAGTTTTGAGATGGTTTGGCCCCAAAATCGTAATCATGATCAAATTTTGATTAATTGAGCAGCCTTAAACTGATTACAGTTTTACTTTAAGTAAAAGTGCATAAATAAATCAAATCAAGTAGAATTTATTTTATTTTACAGAGAATGTATCTTCTCACCTACTAGCCTATTAAAAGAAGAGGAAAGACATATTTGCTGCAAATGATGATCATTAATAGGCTTCATGCATGTATATATGACCATCTACAGCATTTCCAAAATAGAATGCCAAAGGTTAGCCGCAAGTGGTGTGACTTGCAGAAATGAAAAAGGACAATTTTCTGTTATGCTTTGCATCTGATAAACCCACTTTTAAGTGTATCATAGCACGCAGCTCATTCTGCCAACAGTTGAGTTTCAAACAAAATACATACCCAGGTTTACATAATCTGAGTGAGGGGCTAAAATAAAATTAACATAGTTAATTTCCAGATTATTTGGACATTTTAATCAATTTTCAGATGTTTCCATGACTTGAAAACTAGTCTCTAAATATCCAGGTTTTCCAGATATTCCTGTTCAGTATCTTGCTCAAGGACACTTTGACATGCAGTGAGAGGAGCTGGGGATCAAACCACCAACATTCTGATCCATGAACGACCTGCTCTACCTCCTGAGCCACAGCACAGTCACAACAGCCCCAGAATGATTCCAACTGAGGACCTTTTTTCATGTTATCCTCTTACTTTTTCCCCATGTTTCCTGCCTGTCTCTGCAATCAAACTGAATAAAAGCAAGAAACAAAAAGTAAGTGCTTGAACATATAAGTCAATTGAAAGAAAAATGTTGGAGCTTGGGATATTAGCAACAGCTTGCATTAACACACAGTTTTAAATCCCTGCAGGAGAAAATGTGGCCTCCTGTTTAGCTGCAGTGACGTTTGGAGCTCAGGGTGATATAGTGAAACACTCAGCTGCTGCACTGAGACAATTACACAAACAGCCCATTGTTGGCCTTCCATAATCTAGATCACACTAAACATGGCTGTGCTACAGAAACACAAAATAATAGGACTGAGACACTAACCATTTAAGCTTTACAGCTGTGCTGACCATATTCCAAAGCATACCCAAGTGCTTCAGATTTTTGAATTAGTTCTTCCAATTTATTTCAGTACAGGTTAAAAAACAACTTGCAGAGACTTCATGAAACTTCATCATAGTAAACATCATAATTTCCTTGCTGTGGTAATGTGGACTGAATAAAACTCTTAACTCTGCAATGCATCAGCATGTCAGAATAAGATAAGCTTGAAAATAACAAACAAGACATGACATTCACTGGAATTAAGATTTCTCAAAATGATGAACACACCATTATAAAATGAGTAGAAAAAACAATTGCTGAGTGTTGGGTGATATGTTAAAATTTTCAAACCGGCCACCATCAGTCCAACACCCGGCCACTGCCGATATATTTGCAGATGCCTGTGCTGTGAAAATATTATGGCTCTACACCTCTTCCACTCCTCTCAGTCCCTCTCAGTCCCTCTTCTGTCCCTGCCTGTCCCTGCCTATCCCTATCGTGTTCTCATCTTCAGTCCTGGTTGGAGCATCTGTGAATCACCTTGTTGATCATCTTAATTCACTGCAGTTTGATAAGTAAATATTCTGGCTCTATAGCTGTTTTTCCTCTCACTCCTTTTTTGGCTCAGTGTGTGTACTGCACTGCCGAGAAGCAGCTATAATTCTTCAGAGGCAAAACATTAAATAGGGAAAATACAAAACGCACAAAAAAACAACCTGCCACAGACTGCCTATCGCAGATATATTCATCCAGTGTGTGCTGGATTTAGCGGTACGGTGTAATAGCAGATTACAACCCCCTCACCTCACCCTCACATTTAAAGGGTCACAGTGGCCATGAAACAACGCAAAAGACCTTACCTGGAGCCCCTGTTTGGTTTGTCCGCTCTGGGCTACTGTATAAACATGGCGGCCTTTGTAGATAAGAAACATGAAAACATACCTATGAATATTATATTCTATTTCTGACAATAGATCCTTCTGGATGTTAAACACTGCACCTTTAAACTCATACAAATGGGCCTTAAAAACTAACCATGTGTCATGTATGTAACACTGACAGGAATATAAAACTACATTTGCACTGCAAGCCTTAGCCCTCAATTGTGATATATTGCTCAGATCTGACTTTTTTTGTTTGGCTGTTTTTTTTTTTTAATGTGGTCCCATCAGATTCCAGTGTGAACAGGTCACACACAGCACTTAAAATTTGAAATTTGTAAAATTTTATATTTATTAATTTAATTAATTTTATATATATTGTATGTGGATGTGGAGTCACAGCAAAACATGGACCGGTTACAATTTGACCCCTCAAGTTTTGCTCGTACAGAAGTCTCATGCCAAATACAAATAAATCCTTTTCTGGACATTTTCCAGGAGTTTTTCTTGACAATACAGAACAGCACTTGCTCAAAACGGTGGTCATCATTTAAGGGATGTTCCATGTTTAGCTAGCTTTTGTGACATTGCTTGGGTGTTTTTACCACAGCTGACTTTTCCTCATTTAAAACTGACTACAGTTTTCCTATAACTGTAACAGGCTAAAATACAATCAAAGGTTTCCAGGACAACATAGGTTCTTTTGAGAATATACCGGTATATATCAGAATCAGAATCAGAATCAGAAATACTTTAATAATCCCAGGGGGAAATTACTTAAATATATATATATATATTTAATTTCCAGGCGTTTTCTATGACTGGAAAACTATTTCCTTAATTTCCAGGTCTTCAAGGTTTTCAGGACATATGGGAACCCTGTTATGAGGTCTAACACCTCATTGTCCCTCACTCCCTCCGCCGACTATCTCGATCACAACCAAGTGACTCCCACCAGTGCAGAATTGTGACAAATGTCCATCTAGAATTATGTTAAAGTCAAATCAATTGTGATATCACTAATGCAAAACAAATCAGACCTGTATGTGATTTAGACCACATGTGAAAGAAGCCCAAATCGGGACTGGAAAAAAAAATCACATTCCATGTAATTTATGTTGTTTACTCGGTCATGAAAAACAGATCTGAGTCATGTATGAGCAAAAAAAGAAATTCACACCTACTTTTTCCTGCAGTGTGAACGTAGCCTAACATGCATAACAGTCTAAGAAAAGAAGAAGAAGAAGATATACTTTATTGATCCCCTAGGGGGAAATTGTTTATTGATGTCTAAACATCCTCAGTGTCTGAGGAACACTCCCCATCCTTACCGACTAAACCTGTCTAGGTAAACCTGACACAGTACTGACAGTGGGAAAGACAGGTAGGACTTGCTCCCACTTAACCCACAGATAGGTGACCTGTTTGAACAAGGGTGTGTCTGGAAAAGTACAGAGAACTCTGTCAACTTCCACAGTAGTTAGACACGTTAAATAACAGCGTCCTCTTCACAGACAGCGAGTGAAGAGTGAGAATGAGCGTGAGAGTGTAGCAACAACTTTGGTTTCAAAGAAATGTGCGTCATGAAGTAACGGTCACATTGCCACCCCTGAATGGAACTGACAACACAGCATGATATAAAATTGATTAAACCATGAATAACCCTCTGCTGCTAGCTAGGTTAACTAACTTTAAACATCCAAGTTCGAACCAAACGACAATCCCCTCATCAGGGCGCAACGCATGAAGCATTAAACACCTCCTGCCAGGCCTACATAATGGTGCCAATATATACTGTTCATAATGAATGAGTGTGGAGTGAAACTTGACTGGTTCCTGCTCCACCAGCAGAGCCTGTCAGCGAACTTCAGCCGCTTTGTCATCCAGCTAACCGGACGCTACTTCTCAACTGCAGCTGATATTTACCTCAGCCGCGAGCTTTTCCTCTCGTTTGGCTATTAACAGACTTAGCAATAAGAAGAGGGAATGCAGAAACGATTAACTATATTCTATGTACTTACAAATTGTATCTCTCGTACGCGGTCGCCATCTTCGCTCCGTCTACCTGACCTCAGTGACGACAGCAGTAGGTTCCGTGTTGTGTGTGTTGCCAGATAAGAGTTGTACAAGCAGCAGCCAATTGTTTTTTTCTCAGGGTGGCGAAGTCATGGCCCTACCTACTCTGGCTCCGATTGGCTAGTACTCGTTGCTTTCATTGGTTGGGCTGGTTAGGTTTAGGCATACGGAGTGAGATTGGTTAGGTTTAGGCATACGGAGTGAGATTGGTTAGGGTTAGGGTAAGAATGTCAGGGTAAGCCAATCCGAGGCAGAGGGCGGGTTATGCCTTCGCCATCCTGGGGGAAAAATTGCAACCGGTAGAAGGCGTAGTGTTGAATATACGGCTTCCTCTTCCAACCCAAGGGAACCTGGCACCCATGAAGGGGGTGAGGTTGGGTGGTACTTGTAGTTTAATAACTGCAACGATGGTATCTAGTGTTTTGCATGTGGTATAATAATTAAAATACTGGAATTAGTTCAGGTTTTTTCTAGTCTTGATACTTAAAACTGAATCATTAGATATTAGGTAATATCTTGATTCAGCGTTAAGGTTGAGTACCCTGTAAGCTATGTTCTCTGTATCGGGTGGATCTACAGAAATATTCATAGGGTGTCCAGAGGGTGGCATGGAGACTGGGTGGCAGAAATATATGTTGATTTAATCACAAACAATCACATATATTGATATTGGCTTGTAAAAGATCAAAATGAAGATATTTGAACTCATTACATTATTGTGGCACATCAATAAAGCATTGGATAGAAATCAATCAATAGTTTTATCTCGAAATCTTTAGATATTTGCCCATTTAAATTCATCACATAGTCCAAAATGTGGCCATAACAGATCATTAAATTATTTTCTTTGTTTTTTTAAATTCTATTTTTAAATAAATGTGTTAAATTTGACACCAAACTGGAGTGGCAGCTGGGGTGGCCAGGCATGTATTAAAGATTTAATGTTTACAATTTTGTAGCATCCGGCAATGTAGACCATAGACAGTATATATAATGGACAGAGCTTAGGCTTGTGGGTTGTTACTGTTAAGTGTTTTACGTGTTACTGTTAAGTCTGTTACTGTGTTGCGTTGTTTCTCACCTAAAATCACAAACATATTTTAGTGTACTGTAATCTGTAATCCAAGATCGCGTTTTACAGGTGAGCCTCCATTGTTTCATGCTATGAGTCTTAACTTAAACTGCACAGTCAATGAGCATAGGTCAACTGCAGTAAGTCACCTCCACTGGCTCTGTCAAACTCAAGGCTTCACAACAGTACTCCACAAGCCATGGGTTATATCACGATAGGTTGAAACTTGGTTTAGTGTATAACATTTACGAGGATCTATTGGCACAAATGTAATATTTCATAGGTATGTCTTCATTCGTCTTCATTCACCTGAAAATGAATGAATGCATTTTTCTGATGTTAAACTCAGAAAAAAACAAAATTCTTAGACTCACTGTCTAAAGATATAGTTACTCTAGACGGTATTACCTTGGCCTCTAGCACCACTGTCAGGAATCTTGGAGTTATATTTGATCAGGATATATTCTTTAATTCCCACGTAAAGCAAACCCCTAGGACTGCCTTTTTTATTTACGTAATATTACAAAAAATAGACACATTCTGCTCCTTTGAGCCTGGAAAGGGAGGGTGAAGCAACAGTTTGGGTCTACAACCACACCGCTAGATGCCTATAAATCCTACACACTGGACCTTTAAGGCTGGCAGCTGCTACCCCATGCCACCCCTCTAAATCCACCCCTGATCTGTATGACATACAAAAACCTACAAACCACTTTTGAAATTCCCGACTTTTTTCTTACTTCTGACTTACTTCTTGACCATGGTGTTCTATTGATATGAAATGGTCCTAAAATGTACAATAAGTTAACTGACACATCATCTACCGGTATTATAACTTGTACAAAACAATCCAATATCAGTGCCTGAAAAGGACAAAATATATCCATATCCATATGAATTATATAATTAATGACCATTGTGTATTTAAGGTGTTCCTGAACATGCCCTTTTCCATAAATTTAATTTATGGTATTTGCTGTTTAAATTGTTGTACCGTCAATTTTGGTGAACGACAGAAACAGGCAGTATTCAGAACACTAAAAGCCCGCTATGCTGTGAAGGACCGCCTATATAAAGCATGGGCGGACCACCTTTCAGTCTCTTGTTGGCTGCTCTGCTCGTGGTCGGATGTGTGCAGTAAGTCGTCAGGATTTGTTGTCTAATATCGCATAGCAAATAATGAAAGATCAATGTAATGGAGCGTGAGACTCTTCCTAAAGAGCCATTGAGACGTAAGAAGTAGTTAGTGGGCGGAATGGGATGTACAGGACCGTCTGCAGCTCGTGCTCATACTCAGCACGTGGTATGGCGACAACGCGACGCTGTAATGGAGGCAAAAGAACCAGGCTGCAACCGGTGAGATCTCCCAGAGACTGTCCTGAAGAGCAGAATTTGCTGATGGATGAATAAGTGAGTGGTTATTAAACCGTCAGGGTTTAAGATACATTTTTGGCAAAGAGGTTCAATTTTAACTGCTGCAGTTTTTGGGAAGTGTACATAGTTGTATGTTAATTGTATAACTAATAGGGTTGAGCAGTGCTGCAGTTTAAACAGGATGCAATAATCAGAAATGAATCAATATAGAAATTCAAGCTTCCGTCTGGAGACTCTGAGGGTTTCTAAGGAGTCCCCAGTTATAATTTAGCAATTTCACTGATAAGTTAGCCCAATGAGAATGTCTAAGTGACTATTCTGTTCAACCCTTCCCTGTTAATCTACAGTATAGTATGTGACTCTTAAAAAATATTGGTCTGTTGCCTTGTATCAATTTGGCTTTCCTTTATACAAAGCTTGGAACCACTGTCCCAGAATGTAGATGCTATTTGCAAGAGTTGTGGCACCTTCTTAGCCCATATTTAGGAAGAAATGTAGAGGATATACATTCATTGTGCAATCCCACCTCAATAATGAATATAGTATTTTAACATTGTGTAAGTTTGTTTTAAAAATGTAATGAGAAATGGCAGTATGAGCATTTTGATGTCCTCAGATCACTGATCTCCCTCATGACCAGAAATGTTTCTTGACCTCACTGGTTACTATAGCTACATCTGTGTGTGGAGTATCTTCCCAAAGATGTTTGAGTTGTGTTAAACTGGTGCCATGTATCCTTCAAATGTGTTCATTAGACCTAAAGGGAACTAACACAAGTGTATTTGTTTTTTATTACAGCATACAAAAACTTGACTGTGATGGAGTGAGCAGTTGTGACTGAAGCCATGAGCCAGTGGTGAGTGCCACATGGTGGATGCCACAGAATATGCTGTGAAAACCAATATGCTACAATGATGAGTCACAAGACTAGAGTCTCTGATTTTACCATGAAGCTCATTCACAGTGCACTGAGTATGCTTACTTATTCTGAATAAAAATTGCAAAGATTAGAACTTGTTATGATGCTGTTCTGTATTTACAGGTGTTAAAAGTGGGGTGATCTAGTTGAAGACTGGTCTGCTAGGTAAGCCTGGCATCAAAGATCTTTTTTTTTTTTTTTTTATAAATGTGAATGATATTCATAGACTGAGAGTCCTCTGATAAAAGCTGAAGTTGTTTTCGACAGTGCATCTACACATAACACAGTGATCTGGTATGTTTTAAACCCATTTACTGCAAATCATGTAGCTCTTATAATACAATGAGTTTTCAAAGCACTCTAGTTTAACTGTCTGACAAGGCTGTCTAACATTCAACATCACATGGAAATCTTTTGGAACAAAACTTGCTTTATTTGGTCTGCTTTTACTAAAGCAGCATCTAGGAAAACTAGTTGCATGTTTATAAATTTAAATGCATACATTTTTAACAGCTGTTTTGTTAAATGTTGAAAGGAAAAGCGGTAATGATTCTGAATG